CGATCATGAGATCACCGGGTCCTTATTTATCTATATTACTCATACATTCTAGTTCTCGCATGTATTCACACATTCAGGCCGCATACTTGTTCTTTCTTATATCCATCCACGCTCATTCTTTGCCGGGTGGGACTCCCGCTACTCTATGCTTATATTTATTTATTTATTTTTTTTTATCTTATTTGGGAAAATAAAGGTTCTCACAATTTTATTTTAATTTCTGTTTTGTTTACACTAATATTTATGCTTACATATAATACCTAACCTTACAGATTCAATGTACTTATTCTTATTTTAATTTACATCTTCCTTATTTTTACGCCTTTATTAATTTACATAGGTTCTTATCGCTATTGTTCTTATCATTATATTTCTAGCATTTTCACATTTATTGTTTCTATATCATCTATAAATCTTACATCGATATATACCTACTTACTTATCATCTTATTTCTAAAATTCTTCGATTTGCTTTCCTTAATTCTATTCTTATATCTATTTTGTACAACAATTAGTGCTTTTATTTATTTAGTTACTACGTTGCATTTTACAATTTTACAAGATCTTATCAATTGTGCATATTGCAGGATAGGTGTTTTCTGTCCTATTGTGTCGGATTTTGTACTTCCTTATATATTTTGAAACATACTTTTGCCTAGCCAATAACATATATATACTAAGTTTATACATATTTATTGACTATTTCTTTGCCAGTTTTCATTTTATACTTCATTTTTCCTTTGTTTTGAGTTACTGTTTGTGGTCCGTGTAGGTGTTTTTGTGCTGATATATTCGTGTATATTCAATATACATTCTGTATATCAGTTTGTTATCGTTGTTATGTATTACATGTTTGCGTGTGTCGTGTTTATGTTTTTGTGTGCTTTTGTGTTTGTGTGTGCGTGTCGTATAATTACCTGCTTGTGAATTATGCATAGGCCGTGTTTGTACGAGCCAAATAGTCCCACTTTTTCCGTACTGGGCAGTCGGTACTGAACGCATTATGGTCGGTCTTCCGCAAGCCAGAGTGTGAGCAGTTGCAGCACTGCGGTTCATTTCCTGCTGTAAAATCTGCGCATTTCTCGCGCAGATGCGGTCCTCCACAGTGACTACATCTGTCCACACTCTCGGTGCAAAATTTCCGACCATGTCCGAACGCAAGACACTTCGTGCATTGGATGAGCGGGGACTGGTCCTCGACTCTGACCCTTTGAAGGTCCAGATAGAGGGCTTCAGCCTCCGTCATCCTCCGCCATACGTTGGGCTTTACCTGCAGAATGATGTGTACTGTTTTGGGATTTCTTGTGCGTTTTTTATATTTTATTACAATTTCCATGTCCCCTTCTGGTAGGCCCACAAAGATGTCTTTGTTCTGAGCGTGGAGCGCCTTGATTATTTCATCATCTTCGCTATCCACAAACACATCTTTCAAGACAACGAGAGGGTTTTTGTTTTTCATGGGCGCTACTATCAGTCCAGGTTAGGTTAGGTTAGGTTAGGTTAGGTTAGGTTAGGTTAGGTTAGGTTAGGTTAGGTTAGGTTAGGTTAGGTTAGGTTAGGTTAGGTTAGGTTAGGTTAGGGTTAGGTTAGGTTAGGTTAGGTTAGGTTAGGTTAGGTTAGGTTAGGTTAGGTTAGGTTAGGTTAGGTTAGGTTAGGTTAGGTTAGGTTAGGTTAGGTTAGGTTAGGTTAGGTTAGGTTAGGTTAGGTTAGGTTAGGTTAGGTTAGGTTAGGTTAGGTTAGGTTAGGTTAGGTTAGGTTAGGTTAGGTTAGGTTAGGTTAGGTTAGGTTAGGTTAGGTTTTTTTTTTTTTTTTTTTTTTTTTTTTTTTTTATCGCTTTTCCCCGATCATGGGATCAACGGGTCCTTGTTAATCTAAATTTCTCATACATTCCAGTTCTCGCATTTATTCACACTTTCAGGCCGCATACTTATTCTTTCTTTTATCCATCCACGCTCATTCTTTGCCGGGTGGGACTCCCGCTATTCTATGCCTAATTATTTATTTTTCTTTGGGAAAATAAAATTTCGTACATATTTTTATTTCTGTTTTGTCTTCGATAGTATTTACATTTTCTATATACTATCAATCACTACACTACATGCTACATGCTTATTTTTATTTAACTTATAAACTTACTTGCTTACATATTTATTGACTTACACTATTATACTTATACTTATTTCTTAGTTTCTACAATTTCTGTTTCTTAATTCTATTTTAACATGTATAAGTCTAACATCTATATATACCTAATATTTTCTATCATCTTATTTCTACCATTTTCATTCTTATATTTATTATCTGTATAATAGTAAAAACTTATATCTATTTATTTTAAACATTTTTAAATTAGCAATTTGAAGGTCTTAATATTTATGCACATATCAGGATTTGTGAATTCTGTCATGTGTCTACTTTTATACATCCTTCTATCTGTTTGTCACGCTTTCCTAGGCAATATAGTATATATACAAATTTTATATATATATATTGTCCTCTTCTTTTACTAGTTTTTATTTCATTCTGTTCTTTTGTGTTGTGTTAGTGTTGTGATTCATGTAAGTGTTACTGTGCTGATATAATCGTGTATATTCAATATACATTCTGTATATCAGTTTGTGTTCGTTGTCTTGTTTTTCCTGTTTGTGTGTGTCGTGTCTGTGTTCCTGTGTGCTTTGTGGCTGTCTGTTTGTGTAGTGTTTTTTGTCATAAACCGTTCAAGCATAGGCCGTATTTGCACGGGCCAGGAAGTCCCATTTTCTTCGCACCGGACATTCAGTACTAAATGCATTATGGTCGGTCCTCCGCAACCCAGAGTGTGAGCAGTTGCAGCACTGTGGTTCACTACCTGCGATAAAATCTGCGCATTTTTCGCGCAGATGCGGTCCTCCACAGTGACTACATCTGTCCACACTCTCGGTGCAAAATTTCCGACCATGTCCGTATCCAAGGCATTTCGTGCATTGGATGAGCGGCGATTGGTCCTCGACTCCGACCCTTTGTAGGTCTGGATAGAGGGCTCCAGCCTCCGTCATCCTCTGCCAAACATTAGGCTTTACTTGTAAAATGACGTGAACGGTTTTCGGGTTCCTTGTCCTCTTTTTAAATTTTATTGTCATTTCTAAGTCTTCTTCCGTTAGGCCAATGAAAACGTCTTTGTTCTGGGCGTGTAGCGCCTTAATTATGTTTTCTTCTTCATTGTCCAAATAAACATCTTTTAATATAACTAAAGGGTCCTTATTTTTTATTGGCGCTACTTTTAGTCCCTCGCCGCGACTTTCTATTATCTTTTGGACTTTCGTCCTCTCCTCTTCGGTGTCGCACCCCAGTATGATTTTTTGGTTCCTGGCTTTGCGAACCTTGTTGATTTTAAGGCCAGTACCTCTGGCGTCAACCGCTTTCTTCACCCTGGCGAGCACCTCGTCAGCGGTCTCCAGACCACCTTCGAGGGTGACCGCCATTGAGTGAAGTGCAGGGCGGTGGACCGGTTTGGCTGCTGCGACGCTGGCGTACGACTTAGGGACTGGTGCTGCGTTTATTTCGCATACCAGCCCTTTTGTGGCCTCCAGAATTTCCTTTTTGGCAGTACTGACATCATCGGCAATACCACCGATCAGATCTTTGATCAGGGCGTGCGTTCGACTCTCGACCACTTCGGTCGTTTTTTTTCAGATTTTTCAGGCGCACTTTCAGGACACCACGTGGTTTAACTTAATAATAAAAAGTCTCTTACAATTAACTTTTTGCACTCCAAATTTCAAAATTTTGGTGTCTTCTTGTAGGTCTTGAAATGCTCTTTCATATGACGTCAAAAAACATATATGTCCTCACTGAAAATTAAAAGTTTTTACTTTTAAATTTTTTGACTGAAATTCGGTAACTTCACTGCGTCGTATCTTCTTTGTTTCTTGACCAAATTTTTTGGGCAAGGTGTCAAAAGATTTGTCTTGCCGTCTTCTTTGTAAAACCGTCGTCAAATTCAGCCGCACACCTTCAGGTCTTAAAACACGTGGCCACGTGGTTTTTTAATTTTGGTAATATTTCCGTGCGCGAGCGTCGAAAAATTTTTCTGATTGCTCAAAAAGTTAGAGCTAATCAGGGCGCTTCTAACGACACTAAAAAACCACTATGTTGTCGATTTAGTTTAGGCAGCGTTTTACTTTTAAGTTTTTGAGGTTAGGAAAAAATGGTTTTTCCGTGTAAACTTTTTATTTTCCGCACTTTTTCCACTTTTTCACTTATCACTATGTTTGTCTCATTGAGACGAATCTTTCGGTGTATCACACTTCGTAATTTGAACAATTTGATCCACAACTTTGATTTATAAGACGCGGAGCAGTTTAAAAATGCTGCGTTCGAGACGGCGTTTGGAGCGCAACTCGGGTTAGGTTAGGTTAGGTTAGGTTAGGTTAGGTTAGGTTAGGTTAGGTTAGGTTAGGTTAGGTTAGGTTAGGTTAGGTTAGGTTAGGTTAGGTTAGGTTAGGTTAGGTTAGGTTAGGTTAGGTTAGGTTAGGTTAGGTTAGGTTAGGTTAGGTTAGGTTAGGTTAGGTTAGGTTAGGTTAGGTTAGGTTAGGTTAGGTTAGGTTAGGTTAGGTTAGGTTAGGTTAGGTTAGGTTAGGTTAGGTTAGGTTAGGTTAGGTTAGGTTAGGTTAGGTTAGGTTAGGTTAGGTTAGGTTAGGTTAGGTTAGGTTAGGTTAGGTTAGGTTAGGTTAGGTTAGGTTAGGTTTTTTTTTTTTTTTCCAGTCTTGGATACGCCTCCATGACTGGGGTTTTATTTGAACGGAATTGTCCTTCTTGACACAATTGATTTGCCCCCGCTATTGGATACGGGCGACACAAACGTTACATTTTTTAAAGAATTATAATTTACAATTGGTTATAATTTATAGTTTTTAGTACATTTTTATACAAAGAAAAGACAACTTAGAAGTAGGATAAATTGAGTTACATAAATCAGAATTATGGTTACAGAAATCAGACTTTACTTATTTTCTTTGCATCTATGTTATGTGTCTGTTGAAGTCCTTAAGTGTTCTTACAATATTTTTAATATGTTTGGTGTATGAAGTGACTGAAGATTCCTTGCTTATTATTTTCTTTATGTTAAATGCGTCGGTAATATTTAGGTTGTTACAGGTAATTATGTGATCATTCCTGGTATTTGAGTATCTTGGACATTCTTCGATTAAGTGCTTGAATGTTTGTTCAGAGTTGTCGTTGCATGGGCATTTATTAGTTGATTTAATTTTAAATCTGTACAGGTACGATAGATTGAATCCGTGACCGGTCAAAATTTGCGTAAATTCAAAAGAGGGTTTAAAGGCTTCCCACAAATTTTGTATTGATTCAATATCAGGACATATACTTTTTGTATATTGCCCTTGAACAGAGTCTTTGTAGTATGAATCGGCATTAGTTAAAGTTATTTGTTTGAAGTTGTGTTTCAAGTAGCTTAAAGGAGTGTTGTCGTATTCATATTTACTGTGCGAACTAGCAGCTTGTTTGGCTGTTGAGTCCGCTTCTTCATTACCGGTCAAACCTTTGTGTGCTTTTACCCAAATAAAGTTAATTGTTCCTGTTCCTGCGTTACATATTTGATGTATACATTTGTGTATGGACACTACAAATGGATTTGTACTGTCTTTGTTTTGTATTTCCTTTAAGCCTGAAAGTGAATCCGTAAGTATTGAGAGGTTATTGACACCTGTTTGAATAGCCCATTTACATGCTCTTTCTATAGCCAAAAGCTCCGCTTGGAATACAGTACAGCTTGGATGTAGTTTGTACTTCTTGCGTATTTTTATTTTATCATTAATTTGTACTACAAATGCTGCACCTGTGCTACCATCATTATGCTTGCTCCCATCTGTGAATATCTTCGTTGTATGATTATTGTAATTTTTATCAATGTCTTCCTGTGTGGTTGCCATGTTAATTTCAATGGTTTTCCTGTCAGCTGGATGAAGAAGTTGTGATGGTGTCAGTGGTTTCTCTATGACAATATCATCAGGTAACAACTCTGTTTTTCCAGTTAATTTAGATGTTTCTATGTTGGCGACTTCTATTACTTTTAAGTGAAGGGGGGTGAGTAGGGCTAACGAGATTGCAGCAGAGGCGGAAACTGTTTTGAAAGCTCTGATTATCTTGATGGCAAAACCACGCTGCAGTGATATTAGTTTGTCTTTTATTATTTTGAATTTGGTAGCACCGCCCCAAATACCTGCTGCGTACGTGATTATAGGTTCTATTACCTGCATATATATTATTCTTATATTTTCGGAGTTTATACCCCATGTTGGCCTTACATATACACATCAATATCAAATCTTCTTACTACATATTTGGGACAATCGATTAATATGTGCTCTATAGTTTGCGGTGTAGTTTGATCGCAATCACAACATGGACTTTGCGCTAACTTAAACTTATGCAAATACGCTTTAAATCCTCCATGGCCGGTAAAAATCTGACATCGTAGGTTATTAATATGAACTTTCATCATGGTCTTATATGCCTCAGTTACTGATGGGAAGAATTTCTTCGTCACTCGTCCGGTTTCCGCTGTGGTGTAACGTTCTTGCCAGTTTTGCAAAGTGTTGTCCCTGATAAGGCGCTTTGCGAATGATAGGGGGAAGCAGTCGAATGCTGGTTTTTGCTTAGAGGTTTCAGCAGCTGATTTGGCTAGTTCGTCAGCCCTTTCGTTTCCTGGAATCCCGCAATGTGCCTTTATCCAGAAAAATCTCACTTCACCTTGATTTCTTTTTATTTCTAATATCCGATCCAAGATTTCTACTGCAAGAGGGTGTAGGGTATTAGGGTTCGTTAGACATTCGAGTGCGGATTGAGAGTCACTTAAGATGTTCGCTTTCCTGAGTGTGTGTTTGCTTTGTATCACTTCTGTGGCTTTCAAAATGGCAGCTAATTCTGCTTGATACACACTACAGTGGTTTCCTAGTTTCAATCTTGCTTTGTATATTTCCCGGCCTTCCTTCCAACAGGTAATGGCAGCGCCAACTCTACCAGCTATTTTGCTGCCATCCGTGTAGATACAAGGCCATTCATTTTCCATAGATTTTAATTCGTGTACGGTTGTGATTGAATTGTATGATAGCTTTTGTCGTTCTGCTGGGTGAGGTAGAGTGTATGGGCTAACAGGTTTCGCTAGCTCCCTGCCGGGTAATTGCGGAAGTGGTTTCCCTATTTTTATTTTGTACAGTTCAGCATTTTCTTTTGCTCTTAAATCCAGGGGAAGGATTCTGGCTAATGTGACACAAGAGACCATGGAAGATGTGCGGTGTGCTTTGCTTATCATGATGCTAAATGTCCTGGTTATTCTGTTGAGCCTAGTCTTTATTTGCTTTTTATCTGCTACAGACCCCCAGGCCCCTGCAGCATAAAGGACTGTAGGTTCAACTACAGTAATATAAATTGTCCTGAGAATTTCTGTGTTAAGTCCCCAGTTCGCTCTCGCTGTTCTTGCCACCTTTTTGTAAAGCTGTATCGCCTTTTCTGAAGTTCTATCTACGTGTTTTATGAAATTAAGATTGACGTCTATTGTGAGTCCGAGAATCGTGACACTATCAGTAAATTTTATTTCGATGTTGTCGAGTGTTAGTTTTGGGTTCTCGAATTTCCTCTTTTTAGTTACTACAATGGCCTGAGTTTTATGGGCTGCCAGTTTCATTTTACGCAGCTTGCCCCACATTAGTATATGGTTTAAAATCGGGTTAAGCTCATTCTCGATCTCTTTTGCTGTTTTCCCTTTGGATATTAACATAATGTCGTCCGCGTATGCCTGAATATGTGTTCCTTTTTCCTCAATTTCTCTTAGTAGTGGGTCTAGTAGTAAATTCCAAAGAAGTGGTCCGCAGGTAGAGCCCTGTATACATCCCTTATTGGTTTGCCTAATAATTTCGTTACCTGCGTACGTAAGTTTTATAAGCCTGTTAGAGAGATAACTACTTATTAATCTGCATATGGATTTATCTACTTTTTTTGTTTTCAAGCTCGTTGATCATGGCGGGCCACCAGGCGTTATCGAAGGCACCTTCAATATCTATGGAGACGACTACAACTATTTCCTTGTTATTTATGCCCTGCTTTATAAACTCTAGCGCATCGTATAAAGCGTCTTCGGTACCTCTCTGCGCAACGAACCCGTACTGTCGACTACTCATTCTGTTCTCCGATCCCAGCTGCCACGACAGACGATTGACGAACAGCTTTTCCAAGACCTTTCCCAGAACGGGAAGAAGTCCTATAGGTCTATATGACTTAGGAAGGGTGTAATCCTCTTTGTTTGCTTTTGGGATAACTCTGATTACTGCTCTTTTCCAAGCTCCTGGGAAGTATCCGATTTCCAAGCATCTGTTGAAGATAGCTAGGAGAACCGTAGGAGTGGCCATAGGCTTTGTAGCAGATATCTGCAGTTAAACCATCCTCTCCCGGTGATTTCTTTGGACTCATGGTTTTGAAAATCAGTTGTAGTTCAGTATTTGTGAATTCTATTATAGAGTCTTTATTGTTGCCCCATTCCTTCCTTTGTGTTTCAGCATTGCGTCTAATTTCAGCATGTGTTTGTTCGTCAGATTCAGTGTCGTCCGTTGGGTAGAAGGTTTCGGATAATAGCTCTGCTGATTCTGCTGGGGTCTTTATTGTACCGTTCGGCGTCTTCCTTAACAGAGTATCTTCTGAGTTCTTGTTGGATTCACGTATGACCCTGTATATGCCCTGCCACATGCTCTCCCGATCTTGCCTACTGCAGAATTCTTTCCAACTTGATGTGATTGTTTCAGTGAGAAGATTTTTATATTCTGTTTTAGCCTGTATATATTCGTCAATTGTTGTTTGTTTTCTATTTTTATTTGCGAATCTGACCCTTCTCCTTTTCCGAATAACCTCTTTTTTCTTCTCGTCTAGTTCCTTAGTCCACCATGGTGTTTTAGTAGATATCCTTTTAGGTAATTTAGGGATAGATTTGTCGCAAGAATTTTGAATGCATTTAACATACTGGGTGACTAGGTTCTCTAAAGCGTGTGTGCTTGGTGTGTTTCTGACTTCTTCCTCGGTGATATTGTAAATTTCCAGTTCCGCTTTCAGATTAGAGGCAAAGTCTGTCCAGTTAGCCTTACTTGTATTGTATATACGCGTAGATTTCCTTTGAATGCCTTCTTCTGGTGAATTGTCAACTTTTATATTGTATGTAATTGTCCTGTGGTCTGAAAGCGTGACAAAATCTGGATTAACAATCCAATTGGTTATTTTATGTAGTAGGCTGCTTGAACACGCGGTTATGTCTACGATGCTAGTGTAGTCTTTATTTGCTCTGCGCGCCCAGAAAGTGGGTGTCCTTCCTACATTCAGTATGTGTAGTTCAAGCTGGGCTAACGCTTCCGAAACGGCTGTGCCCCGTCTATCCTCCACGTTGCAACCCCACCAGGGACTCTTTGCATTGATGTCCCCTCCTAGTATAACGTGCTTCGTATTTAGGATGTTTAGGAATTTTGCTATCTTTCTTATGTCTTCCTCGACGTCTTGGTCTCCTTCCATATATGTGTTTACAATTGAGATTTCAAAATCTTTTATTTTAAATTTTAATGCAACAATATTTTCCGTTATTGTTTCTGGATTAACAATTAATTGTATATTTGGGTCAACGACAATGACAGCCGATTTGACGGGTTTTTGGATGTCGCTGGTATGTTTTTGTATAACTCTATATTTGCAGTTAACATGTGCTTTGGCCCCTACATAGGGTTCTTGGGTTAGTATGATCGATACCTTTTGAGTTTCAGCCGCTTGCAAGCATTCTTGGAACGCTGCGTATCCTCTACCAAGGTTGATTTGTGCGATTTTAATTGTGCTGTCCTTTACGCATGAAGTCCTATGTGGGAGGGAATCGGTGTCTTTAGCAATATGTGACAGTTGATCTAGCTATCCGATCCCATTTTCTCCACTCTAGGCATTCAGGGCTGTATGCAGGGTGAGCACAATTAATTTCGCTACGCTTTTTATCTATGCAGTTTATGCACTTGGGTGCTTTGTTTCTGTTATGGCACTCCCTTGTGTCGTGTGCTTCGGCGCAATAGCCGCAATTCATACTTTGAGCATTGCATTCCCAAGCTCTGTGAGAAAATCCCAGACATCGATAACATTGAGTTATAGGCGATTGATCAATGGCCGGTACTACTTGGAAGCCGATTCTGATCTTTTGATCTTTGAGTTTTTTCCATATTTGTGGGTTTACCTCCAAGACTACGTTGCTTGTAGAGCTGGTGCGGCCTTTAGTTCTCCTAACTACTTTAACATGTAGTTGTGACGTTGCTACATCGTGCAGGAGAGCTCTATTCTGTTTTATAATAGCCTCTTCAATCTTCTTGTCTGTGAGGTCGAAGACCACGCCAATCAGTCGCAAAAGTGGGTTCTTTGTAGTCGGCCTGCAGGCTGTTAGATTGGCTGCAGTGCTCCTTAGTTTATCCTGAAGGATGTCTCTGTCCGTCTCAGACTCGCAACTAATGAGTACTTTTTGGTTCTTTGCCTTTTTTATATTACTAACGCCTATGCCCAGCTCGACTACGTCGATCCCGCTCTTAACCTGTTTTATTATATCTTCACTTGTGCTTCTCGGGTCAATTGATTCAACCAATATTGGGTAGTGTGGTTTTCTCAGGACTTCCGAGAAGGTGAGTGGGGGGGTTCTGTAATTATGCGATGTTGAGTGGTGTTTTTGTTCCTGATCATTAAGGTCTTGTGATTTGCATTTATGTTCTGAAAGATCTGCTTCCCCGACATATAACTGGTTTTTCAGCTCTTTCCTGAGGCTTTCTATTGCTAGTCGGATTGGGGCTGCTGAGTCCACTGTGATATCTCGTAGCTCTCTGTTTTCCCTTCTGAGTTCTTCTAAGTTTGCTTGAACCGAGGGCAACGGAGAGTTAGAGGAAGCGACAGTTAGTTCTTTGATGTCTTTGGACATAGAATTAATTTCCTCTCGTATTTCGGCTACTTCCGCATTTAGTTGCATTCTCAGGTCAACAACTTGCTGGTGGAGTAGTTCAGTTTTTCGGTGTTGTTGTTCCACACTCTCCTGATCGCGAAAATCTTGTGTAAGAGGACTGCAAGGTGGCTGAGTAGGTTCCTTCCTCAGACCGTATTCGTTGAATACTCGACGAAGTTCTCTCAGCTCTTCAACAAGATGAGTAGAGCCTGATTCTTGCCGAAATTGCTTTAAAAGAGAGTCAATGTTACCTCGAAATAGTTTAAATTCCTCCGTTAAGGCTTGGATTTGATCCTTAATGGGAGGACCTGTGGATATTTCGTTTTTTACGTTCACAACCTCTCTTTTTGTTGCGGTGACAGCCTCACAAATGTCGTAAGACAGTATTAATCTGGTGGATTCCGTTTCCTTCTGTAATTTCTTAATGTCTTCTTTTAAGAGAGCATACTGTCCTAAGGTTTCGTGCATGAATCTCGCGTGTCTTTGCGTGAGCCTTTCGGACTCGCGGGAAGTGTTCAGTTTCTGCTTGTTAGATTCAAGCATGTGCAGCACTCTTGAATCAGATAGTTTAAGGACCATTTCGTATAATATGTATAGCCCCGACACGACACTTTCTCGAATTTCTCTTTTTAAGTTGCTAGACTTTTCTAACTCTGCCTTAGTTCGCTGGAATATTTCGTTCGCATGTCTGGGCAACTCATTTAGAAGCATTCGATTTCCTCCAATGGATCGTGTGGAGGCGTCCAGAGAGGTGTTTGTGTCTCCGCTGTCGACGTCCGAGTCAGCAGTATCCTCCGTCTCGGACACGGCTTTTAAGGCGTCCCTGGATTCAGCAGCTTTCGCTTGTCTTATTTGTGTACGTATCCGAAGAAGACTCGAGCCTGGCCTCGCAAGTACTGGAGAGGACGTTGTCGCTTCATCTAGGTTGGGCGATGACGAGAGCAGGTCTGGAGTGTCTGATTCTTCTACCGCCCTTTCATCGCGTGCTCCTCCATGGGCACTTCCTTGAAGTTCAACGGTCCCCTGTTCCGTGGATTCTGCGGGCTTCCCATCGAGTGCCTGCAGACTCATCTGTTCTGCTACTTTTATATCTGCGCTGCTTCGTTCAGAGTCTTTTAACTCTTTTGTGACTGTCTTCTTTTTTAGTGCTTGCGGTTTTCCAGAGCAGCTAGAAGTTGGTCTTTTCGATTTATCCGGCATTACGCTTCTTTCCACTTCGCTAGCCCTAGAAGAAGTGTGGGTGAAACGAGTGATGGAACTCTGTTTGGAGGTAAGGGATAGTACTTTAAGAGCCTTTTAGATAACCAAAAACTGCGATTAAATCGGCTTAGGTAGGGCGAAGTTACGAGTCTTTGAAAGTTTTCAAGATGGCGGATGACTTGGCCGGGTCGAGTGATTTCGAGAATAGCTTAAAATAATAGAGGACCGTTTGCCTTTGCTTCTGTTGAGAGCCGCGTTTAAATCCAATCAACGGTTCCGAAGTTATAACGAGTTTTGTTTTTGCAAGATGGCGGTCCAAGATGGTGGTCGATATTTTAAAAAGGGTATATTTCCCTCTTCAGTTATGACAAAATAGTCGTGTTTGGGCTTGTTCAAAACGTCTTTGCACTAACTATTTTATTCTATCGCCAGTTTGTGTGATTTTTGGCGATTGGGGTTTTTGATTCCAGATTATTTAGCTGAGAAATTAAAGGTATAATAACGAAAGTCTCACGCTTCTGTGATTAGCGGTTGCTGAGATATGAGCCCTAAAAGATATCCAATATGGCGGACGAAATAGGAAAGTAATAAATCCTTATATCTCGGTAACGGGAGGTGGTAGGATAGTCGTGTTTGGGCTGTAACTATGTAGAATTTCACTACCAAACCATTGGTGATATTTTGTAAGGGAAGAATTAACATGTACTGAAATTTCCTGAAAAAAAAAACACTGAAAATTAAATAACTTTCTGGCGAAAGGTGATAGTAGCGTTCTGAAAACGAACTCCTTTTTGGTTCTTAGTGCTGCAGGATTATGCTGTGAAAGAACTATCGCCAGCCTGTAGGAACATAGAGCCTGTCTTAGTGTTCTCAGGAAAATTCTAATATTTCAAAAACTTTTCGCTCGAAAAATCCGAAACCTCGTAAACAGATTAGAGGTTAGTATTGCGACTATTTTATAAAATAAAAATGATAAGTCGTCGATTCAGATAACTCGCAATTTACAGGTGAATTTGAATTAGTGTTAATAATTTTGCGTTTTTGGCTATATCTTCTAGAGTACAATGCCAATTTATGTTTAGCCAACACAAAACGTCGGTTTAAGTGTGTGCTATGTTGATAGGTATTCAAATTTAGCCGCACGACTGCGGTTTAAATTTTTCGTGCCACGTGGTTTTTCAGTTTTCGCCCAATAATTCGAAAATTAATAAGCGAAAAAATCCACAAATCACGCTATATTATAGAACTTTCAGAGTGCCACAAAAATAGATATTAAAATCAGCAGGTCGTCGATCTTAAATCAGCGGCGTACGCAATTTTATGTAAAATTTTAAGTAAAATTTTACCTGTTATGCAGTACCACCGGTATGTTTTGCTGAAATATCCCTGTGACACTTTACTTTTCACAACTGACACAATCACGGGCACAAAGAAGGGGGGAGGTTAGGTTAGGTTAGGTTAGGTTAGGTTAGGTTAGGTTAGGTGAGGTTAGGTTAGGTTAGGTTAGGTTAGGTTAGGTTAGGTTAGGTTAGGTTAGGTTTTTTTTTTTTTTTTTTTTTTTATGTATGCTTTGCTGCTTCCCTCTGACATGGGGTCAGAGACATTGTCAGCTCGACACGGACTTTGAATTCTTATTTTTATTGTTTTTGTCCTTGATATTATAATGGGTGTAGAGGACTCCGGGTTTTCATTCGGGAGTCCTACTACTCTTACTCTAATGCATACAATGTTACACTTAATTTCAAAGTCTTTTCTTTTTA